AAGCCAAGATAATTGAAATCTTTAACTATATTGATTTCTTTTCCTTCATAAAAGAATATTTCCTTGTTAAGGAGTCTGTTACACTTATTGAATATCATTATTTTTGTTTTATCTGTGTTGACTGACAACTGCCATTTTGATGTGTAGGCTGGTAGTTAATCCAAACAGTTTTGTAATCCCTTTTTGGATTTTGAAAGAATCACAATATCATCTGCATAAAGAAGGCAATTAATGGGTGTGTTGTGTAACAGAGTAGGGTCACAATGATCATTATCAAAAATATCAGGCAGGTCATTAATAAATAAATTAAACAGACCAGTCTTTTTTTTTTTTTCTAATATATTTTTTGTGCCATGCGACAGTTACGGACATTGAATGTCACTGTTGTCTCTCCTGACTTTTTTTTTGTATGTACAAATTGCAAGTGCTAGTGCTGACACATGGTGCATCTTTGCCACAGAAGTCATATTCATGTTTGGGACTACATGACAGGGATGTGCGGCCATCTTCCTATCAAATGGCAATTTAAAGTCGTCCAGTCTTGATCCAATTCCCAGTTCACTGTTAAAAATGGAACATTTTACCTATTTTGTCTCCCATTATCCCATTATCAATAAATAAATGGGCTTGAAGTTAATACGCTAAAAAGTATCGCCCGATTGCTAATTTGCTTTATATTTGTAGGTTATTGAGAATATCGTTGCAGAACAGCGTCATCAGCATTTGTCAAGGTTTGTATTGATAATGTTTGTTCATAACCACATGATCTACCATTTGATTTACCACAGTGCATTGTCTTAGGCCCTATTCATTCCACTTTGTATTGTGCTCCCCTAGAAGATATTTGCTATGTTCATGTTATGGGATCTCGGCGTGTGCCGACATGTGTTTTCAGCAGCTGTGTCACGTTAGTCAGACCCACCCGTCTCATGCCGAAATCACGCCCTCATTCGTTGATCTGTTATTTGACCCAAACATGGAAAACGATACGCATATGATGATAATTACTATATTGAAATTATATTCATTTGCTGTTATGATATTTATGAATGGATGGATGGCCGAGAAGATTAAAAAAACAATTATTTTTTCACGTTGATGTAGCATTGCAAGAAAAAAATGGTTGCAGCATTACATGAATATGCATCACTGACAACGGTTTGCATTCATTTCATTCATTACTACACCATTTGACAATTTATAGCTTCTCTCCATCGTCATTTCATACTAGTATGAATCAGTATATTTTCTCTAAAATTCACCACTGAGGGTGTGATTTCATAAACATGCAACCTGACCAAAAGTGGTATAACTGTATACATCACATAGTGTGCTGGTGCAGTCAGCGAGGCACTTTGAGATACAATTCATGATTCTTGTCAAAGGGATGTAGAAGCTCTTTTGACAGAAAAACAAACATCCTGAACCTGAGCCATTGACTATTAACAGTCTTTTCACAGTGAAATTATTACAATATGTTACGAAACTTTGTATATGAATGATGAGATTTCATAACATAATGTGATATAGAAAAAAACAACAAGTTTTCCTTCACCATGATTTAATATTCAAACCTACATACAATATGTACAGTATATCATTTATAATCTATATTGATTTACAAATACTTCATCATTGTTTGATAAATATAACTCTGAGTCAAAATGCATATAAATACAACCTGAGTGAAACAAAGAAAATGCCAAATCACATGATAACTACAATTAGAAAATGGATGTTATGAGCACAACTTAACATTACGTAATCTTATACTCATGTTGTAAGATTCAACATATCATCATGCTCTGTTCATTTAGTTTTCTCCAAGCTTGACTTTATTAATCCATTCTCTTGCTATGATCATTCTTTGAATCTGAGCAGTTCCTTCATAAATCTGCAAAAAAAAAAAAGAGATGTGTCTTATTATTATAGATTGCTGCTGCCAGACAAGATGAACAGCTGAACACAATACGAGTCATTGATTTCCGATATACAACATATATATCATATTCTTGGACGTAATAAATAATGTAAGACAACAAGTATTTTGTAGTCTAATCACAGCTTCCTCTACTCTAATACTCTAAAATTCCCTCTCACTAACCCGAAACTCTCATACATAAGTATATAATATGGGATGGCACGTCTAGCTAGCAGGCCCCCTAGCAACCTGTAGTTGCGTCAAAGTACGGCAACTACATTTGTGATGCTATAAAATAATTGCTCAAAAAAATGCACTGTGGTATTTTAGCAAACATAAGTTCAAAAAAAAATATTGCTGTGCTGTTAGTCGCCCGAGTACGAACATCACCACTCGTTCATTTTTAGAGCTCAAACGAACTGAAATTGACATTATATTATACTTCTAAATGTCTGGACTATACAAATAACATTTATAAGACCCCCGTTAATATTTCTTTTATCGACAATACCCATAATCAACAAATGGTTGTAAAATGGTTAATGATTTTACTTCAATCAATTTACCTGGAATATTTTGGCATCCCGCATTAGTTTCTCCACTGGATATTCACTATTGTATCCATTTCCACCAAATATTTGTACTGCATCTGTAGCACATTTATTAGCGACATCTGCTGCCCATGCTTTGGCAATGGAAGCATAGTATGTGTTACGATGACCTTGATCATGCTCCCAACAGCATTTGTAAGTAGCCAATCGAGCTGTTTCAATTCCTATTGCCATTTCAGCTAATATGAAAGCTACAGCTTGATGCTACAAAAGAAAAGAAATTATTATTATGTCAATAGAATGAGTTTATTTCGTCTGTTCAGGCACTGTTACAAGAAGAATGGTTAGGAAACTCTCTATTCTTTTGTAGCATACTGCACACTGCCAGATCGAAATGGATCGAAAGTTGTCATCAAATACATCACAGCTGGTCCCACAATCCTCTGAGTTCTCAACACAGTTTTTCAGCAATTTACCTGAGTTGTTATGACAAAGGCAGACAAAATGGATGACCTCGCTAACCTAAAAAAAAAACAACGTTATTTTCTAAAGTTATGATAACTGCAGTTTCATATTAAAATACCTAAACAATAACGTAGTATCGAATAACAACATTTTAGAACATTTGCAGACCAAGTTTTTATGCTAAGAAATACCATGGTCAAATTTGATTCACAGACGGCAAATCTGTCAACAAAACAAACTACCAGAATTTTCATTTTTTTTAGAACAACAAAACCTTGAATATATGGTTGGACACTCATCAAAGAGAGGTCAATGGGTAATTAGCATATCTAACAATAGAGTTTCCTAACCATTCTTGTGGTAACTGTGGTATTAGGAGAACTAACTTGTTTACACTTTGCATATGTTCACAAATGAAAGCAAAATAATGATCACATTTAATATACATGTGTCCCAGTTAATAAAGCAACACATGGGCAACATAATTACAGTATTTGCGAGCAAGTTTTAGCATGCCCTTGCTGTTGGTAGAATAAAAGACATCACCATGCGCCAGCACAATACACAGTACATTTCACAGAATGATGATTATATTTCAGACATCACCCAGAGGTACATGTAGACCCTGAATGTACCCAGTAATCCAACATGACTGGCTGTGTTCTTATCTAACTCATGACATGCACCCTTACCTGTGCAATTACTTTGCCCATAGTTTTTCTTTCCAGTGCGTATTTAGTGGCTTCATCCAAGGCTCTCTGAGCAAGCCCGACAGCACCAGCAGCAACCTAAACAGAGATACCGGTAATTGCAGATTCAGTTCATCACAAACATTATTAAATCTTTAAATATGTTATATTTTGAGCATGATCTGTTATCAGATTAAAGTTGCTCAATACAGTTTCGAAAACATGGTGGGTTCAAAGTAAATTTGTTTATGTGAGGGCTACATTCTATCACCCATAAGTGTTGGCATATAGGACAAATTACTGAAACTATCATAAAATGTAGTTCCAGACACATTAGTGGTGTTCTTCTCACAACGCCTTTCATTTGAGAACATTGTAAAAATGTGTGTGAGAACAGAATACGCCATTGTATGGCGTCGGCGTTTTGAGACCGTTGTAAAAGGGGTGGATCAGATCCTAAACACCGTTGTCACACCGACTCTTGCACAATGCAATGTGCCGTGTGAACACAATATGGCGACCAAACACCCTTTATCGCAGACTTATTTATTTATGCAAGATGGCGTCAGAGGTTACAGAACGAATGTTGAACTGGTCAGACAAAGAAATGAAATTACTGAATAACTGTATGGAGAGAATCGAATATTCAAAGGATGATGGTCTAGGGATGCTAGAGTATATGCTGTGATTGCAGAAAAAGTGACTGAAAAGGGGTTGGATAAGACGTCATTACAATGTCAACGGAATATCAAAACTTTACGTATACAGTACAGAGAAGTGACTGTGCACAACAACAGAAGCGAAAACTATGCCATTTTGGATGAACTACACAAAATATTAGGTGGACAATTCAGCAGATTAATATTTGCACAACGAAAAAACAGTGTTAACACCAGCATTTTTTAGACGTGTGAGAACATGGTTATTGTCATGTTTTACTTTTCTCCTATGGACTCCCATGCATTAACTCTGTATCCACATACAGTGATATCACATTTACCTAAATAGGGCCGTCTCCTAAGACTTTTATTAAACTGTATTGAGCAACAATTGTAGAGTCTAAGACATGCAGAAAAAAAATCTAAATTTATTTGTTATTTGCATAAAGGTTATAAAAATAAAATTTTGTTTTTTAAAGTAGAGTACAGTAAAAAATGAGCTATTTTATACTCACTGGTGGTCTTGTTTTATCAAAGGCACCCATGGCAATTTTAAAACCTGCTCCATCACCTAACAAGACGTTTTCCTTTGGTACAACAACATCTTCAAAAGTAATACCACGAGTGTCACTACAACGTTGTCCCATGTTGAGTTCCTGAAGTAAAAGTTGCAATATTAATATATATTTTCAACAGTATATTAACCTGTGGCAAACCTAAGATAGTTGTTTCACAGTGAAGGAGATGAACAAATAACTGATTACATACCTTTCTACCAGGTGTAACACCAGGCGTATCTCTATCAACAATGAACCCAGTAAAGGCACCACTTGCTGGTCTTTTCAAATCAGGATCTGTTCTAGCTAATACAAAATACCAGTTAGCTTTTCCTCCATTTGTAATCCACATTTTTTGTCCGTTTATCACATAGTGGTCTCCTTTTTTCTCAGCACGAGTACGAATCCCGGCGACATCAGATCCAGCACCAGGCTCTGTTACAGCATATGCCTAAAGTAAAAAATACACGTACTTGTATTGTACATATCTTACATTGGGTAATAGCAAAATGTGATACATATACAATAATACATCTCGTATCGTCTAAGGTGGTAGATATGTTTATATATACAAATGACAAGCAAAAGGCATCTCATACAGAATAGTAGTCCAACTTACACACATTAGAGGTTCTTCTACCATTCGTCCAAGATATTTTTTCTTCTGTTCGTCATTACCAGCAATAATTACAGGTGTTTGCTATGAACACCAATATACTGTGGTTAGTATCAAACATTAATTTAAGAACTCTTTTCCATCACTGAAAGCCAGTGTTCACAAATTATATTCCCATTTGACAACTTTTCTTTGTCTGGTTATGAACACTTGTCAACAACAAGCAGCCTGTTGGCTGGCTGATATAGCTCCACTGTACAGTTAGACAGTTAAAAACAGCATTTTTTACCAAAAATATTCACTGAAATTAGAAAATTAGACTTGTTGTCATATAAACATGATTGTTCATATAAAAAAAAAACATTTTTACTAAAATTTACCAAAATATTCACTAAAATTAGAGAATTGAAGGCATCGTCACAAAATGAACAAATCTGACTAAGCTCACTCAAGATGTCTACAGGTAAAATAACGACGCAATTAAAGCCATTTTCAAGTCAAAACTATTGGTAGCATTTTTACTAAAATTAAAGATTTGAAGATATCTTTATGAAACAAATTTGTGAGAGGTCCACCTAGTATCAAAACAATTAGACCTGCTGTTTTCAAGAAGTCAAAAATGTAATTTATATTAAACATTAGTATATTTTATATACTTCTTTATTTCAATGCACTCAGAAGTCAGCAAAAAGAAGATTTAAACTTAGTCAATATCATAACAGCTCCATCAACTCCTGAAGCTATAAACATTGTACATTCTGTTCCTTCAATGTCAAACATAATACAAGATCTTTAAATCAAGTGTAATTCTAATGCCATATTATCTTACTCCAAGATTGTTGGCCTCCATTGCTACTTCTATACCAGTGCATCCATACGCCAACTCTTCTGTCACTAAACATGCATCAAAAATACCAAATCCTGGTCCACCTGAAATAGGCAAATCAACAAATCATTGTCAATGACATAGTCTGAGTTTGTATTTGGGTAAAATAACATTCAAAGAAACAGAACATGTTGTATATTTGAGATCAGTGAAGTCATGTTCAAGAACCGGTTAAGGATATAATAAAATGAAATCAACATGGCAGCCAATCAGCCATTTTGAATCAAGGCACACAAAAAACATTATGTTTGTTGTTCATACTAAGCTTGAAAAAAAATTGGCCCAGGCATGGCTGATAAATAACATTTATATTTGTGTTTCTGAAAAATGGAAAGAACATTTGAAAAGAAAAATGTTTGCCAGTCAGCTAATTTGAATCAAATTCCCCCACCATGAATGATGGAGGATTTTTTGAAAACTATAATTTATCAAGAATAAAGCTCAAAAGTTAGAAATAGTAAGAATATTTTTGAACCAAATGACATGATTCTATCCATTTTTGAGAAACAGCTAAATCCACACTGATTTAATTTTATGGATGACATCCTCTGAAGACCCCCAAAACTAATGCAAGAGAGCGAAAAAAAAAAAATCCTGCCAAAAAAAAAAAAATGCTGCTAAAACCACAGGACTACGGAGCTGTTATAACGAATTGAACCACAGTGTATCAAAAAAACGACAACAAGTTTTTATTTGTAGGAGGCACATGTTGATGTACACATCTCGTACTATATTACTGTCACATGTATCATCACCTTTGATTTTGAAAAGGCAAGAGGATAAGGCAGATGTTAGCTTTGCCAAAGGCATACACATCAACTCAATAAAAAAAAAAAAACTTACTGTGTTGTATTGAAAAAAAAAAAAATAATTAAAATGAACAATAAGTTTGTCAACAGCAACCTGGAAATTAACTTCTTTGACATTCAAACTACAGCTTTTAAAGTGACACTTCAAATAGACTAAGTGTAGACACAAATGCTCTAGAACTACTTCAACTAAGTTACAAATTATAAGAGGCTCGATATTGAAAAAAAAAACACCAACAGAGAGTCCACAAAAATTTTGATGCAGAAAATTATGTACATGTATTTTGATGAAAATTTGTCATATGATCAAAAAATTACTGACTGTGTGTGCAAGCAAATTATTCGAATCAGAAAATGAAAAAAAAAAATAATAAGAAACCTATCTTCACCCCGAAAGGGGACTTAGGCCGAGGAACTTCTGCTGCTTTCGTTGCAGTTTTGGCGACTTCAATGCTGACAAAGCAACCGAACTGACTTGTCGCCTGACCGACTTTTAGGCCACCATACACCTCCACTCCTCTCCCATTTCTCTCATCGTTGCAGAAAAAACGAGGAACAGCCACTCTGGACAATATGTCCTTACAGTTGTCTGGGCAAAACTCGCTTGCCGCTACCGATCTCTCGTATAGCTGTGTAAACGTCACATCTCCCTGGCCAACGTCAATTGCGTACCAGTCTACAACAATACCTCCGTTTTACCTCTGAACTTTTATGCTCACGTATTTTGGTGGTGTGGTCGCCATGTTGGATCATTTATGACAAAATTGGCATGTTTTGAGACAATCTCCTTCCCATAGGTCTTTGCGCTTTACGTATCGCGCATCTAACTGTGCAGAGTTTGGTTTTGAGGTAGTCCAAAACGAGTTTTACGACAAGTCGGCACTTTGCAACAATATGAGTCGGCAAGTTCCGGACAGAAAACCGATCTGTGGAGACTCGTCAGAGATTTTTTTTTTTTGGGGGGGGGGGGGGGGAAACAAGCGAAAACTAATGCGCATGCGGATGTCATCCATAAAATTAAGTTGGTATGGCCTAAAGATTGTAATTGACAATAGGTAGTAACTGATATATGGTTATATATGTTATCTGTTCTATATAACTAATTTACCATATTCCTGTGGAATGTGTGTGTTCATTAGTCCAAGTTCCCATGCCTTTTTAATAACATCAACAGGAAACTGAAAATGAATAAATAATTGCATTACACAAGGTAAATAAACAACTGTGACTGGACTATCCACAATTTCCAATGTTTTCATCTTTTTTTCCATTTAAAAAAATATGGCAGACAGATTTGAAAATACCATAGGTATTATTCTTCTTTTATCTATCTGCTTAAATCTATTTACCGGTATGTCTTTTTTATCTATTCCCCATGCCAAGGCACATAGTATATGGAACTATGACATATAAAATATAAATAATATTAAATAAAATTTTAAATCTGCTTTTAAAATACTTTGCTGCATAAAAATAACTTAATTTTAAAATATGATAAGTTTGTGTATAGTGTTTTTAAAATCAGATTTGATTTTGGGTTTACCACCTTGACCATTTTCTGCACAAATAAAAATAAATTTTAATAAATTAGCTATGAGTCATTCCAATATGTGGGTTAACCCTGATATACATTTTTGAAACATGCTAATGAAAAAAAAAAAGAACTTCATATACTTAGATTTTATAAGATCAAAAACTGTGAAATAGCTTATGTTATGTTTTGTATTACCCCTTGCCGTAACTTCACTAAAGAATTAATTGACGGGGACAAATTACCTCGCCTGTCCTATCATACTCGGCAGCTTTGGGTATCATTTCTTCTCTCGCAAATTTGCGAGCTAATTGCTGATATTCCTTCTGTTCATCTGTCAACTCTGAAATAAATTTCATAAATCCTAATTTAGAATGAGTAAATAGATCTTGTTCCTAAACATGCCTTTCTACGGCTAGTAATCGTATATGCAAAGAAACTTCTGTCTTTTCAATGGTGAATACATGAATGTATACACTTTTTGTTTTGTAAACAATTTTCATTGCAGTACTGCGTAGACTGACACAAATACTTTAGACAGCTGTATGATATAATGCCAATGTTTTTCTGAAATGTGGCTGTGATTCGAATAGAGGTTGTGTCAAGTCTATTCTGGGATGCTCACATAAACACATGTGTGTAGATTATATTTACTGTAAAATACTTTATTTTATTAAGCTGAAATTAATTTTCACTGAAAAGACTTTTTGGGTGTTTTCTTTGGAATTTATTTTCACTGATTTGTGACAGAGTTGAATGTAAAATATAGGAAAAAAGGTATATTCGCTGGATTTTATTTTCACTAATCATTCCTTCAGTGAAAATAGCGAAAATTAATTCCAAGCAAAAATAAAGTATTTTACAGTAACTTGTATTTTACAATAATTGTTACAAGCTTGGGCTAAAAAAATGAAATATTCTGATCATAAAGCGTTCAAAGGAGAGCTATGAAATATTAAACCAATGATATTTAGTACAAGGATCACCTGATGAATTGTATCGCCCGCCTAAAGCTATACGAGAGATTTAACTGATTGTGTATGTCTGGCTAAATGCTGCAATAGGCCATTTTTAAGTTCACTGCAACATCCAAAGCGAAAAGATCAGCTTTTCAACATTGAGATATGAAAAAGGAAATTCAAAATCAAACAAAGTCTTCCACTCAATAAATGGGATCTTGCATTAAAGTGGCATTCATCATTCATGTTGTTAGAACTCACTATATAGAGTCTATTGAGAGGTTATTGAGCTTGTGAAAATGTGCGGATAGCGAGAAATCAGCCCGAAACAGACAGTGACTGGAGAGAATTTTATTTTTCGGTGGGCCACCCGTAAACAAAGACCCGAACGTCAGCTACTCGGCTTTGTTATTGAAATCAGTTGACCTAGGGAGTCTCGAGCTAAATTGTTTTTATCGTGTGTATGTTTTTTTGAACGTGATTTGAGTATACATGATTTGAATATTAATTCAAAGATAACAATATTTAGACCAGAAAAATAAATTTTGTCATTCAAATTTTAATGGGATATATATATTAATCATGAAATAAATATCCATATCTGGAAAAATCTATGCTAGTACTAAATGATACAAATCATGTTGAAATATTATACCAATGTGCTCCACAATAATTTTTCTGCAACAGATTCCTATACATTAGACTGTATTTTGAAGCTACAAGATTCAATTTGTTAATAATACATATTTGTACATCTTGTAGGTCTTTTTAAGTTTTTATAAGTACATGTGATAAATGGAATTGAAAAACATATTTTTATGTATTTGTTTACATATTTGACGTATTCTGTATATGATTACTGATACTGCTCGACTCCTCATGACATCATAATGTATTCATGTAACTTACCAAATGATATACCAGCACTTGACCGTGAAACAGCTTCAGTTCCTGGAATTGTAGTTAAGGCTCGAACATTATTATTCCTTGATATCCACTACAAATACACAACAATGGAAGACAGTTACTACAACATATGCCATATAAAATGAAACAAGATTTGACTGGAATTTATATTCGAATTTTGTTGAAAAACAATTTATTTTACATGTGTTGTATACGTTAACCCATATCAAGCATTACGTAGCATTGAGACTTATTCACCACCAGTTTCGTATACAGTAGATTGTTCCTGTTGTCCCCCCAGCTGACAGGAAATTGCAGAATTTGAGGTCTGTGTCTTTGACTGGGCATTATACTACGAGAAACATAGTACAATCATGTCAATTGAAAGCTAATAAAATATGCTACCAAGCATTCAACTACTTCAAAAATGATATTTGGGTTAAAAAAATGCAGAATTGGCAACAAAAAATATATACATTGCATGTACAAATATAAAACATGATTCAAACTGTGTAATATTCACGAAATTGCTGCTGAATAAATGATTTTTGTGGTGAAGAAAAACAAGATTATTAATTTTCATGTTGTGACCAAAACAAAAAGACTTGCGTGAACACTATAAGAAGACAGTGTTTTCATATAATATATGTGTCACATAATTAACTGTTTTAGTAAATAAGGCCTTTTGGTAACAGTGGCTGCCAGCTGGGAGATCATCCCGGTTTCAAAAAAACATTGACATTGTTAAAACTATTGTCCTTGATTTCATTTTCATTGCAAGATTTACGGTTTTAACCTCCAACTGAATTCATGGGTGTGGGAAAAGTGAAAAGACTTTATACTCCATCAATGAATAAAAAGTCAATAGGCATGGTGCTCATTGATCATAATATAATGAGAATGTATCTCACTGCCATGAGCTAGGAGCATTACCAGGATTATAAAGAAAAGAAATACTAACAATTGTTAAATACAAGAATATATGTTCTCAGATGATTTGCCATGAAAAATTGATAAAGTGAAAATGTACTTGGAAATAATTTTAGTCAATCACAAACAATTCTGGTAAACTCATCCAGGAGCCATGTTTGATGTTTTTTATCACTTTCCAAATTCAGTACATAAAGGCCTAGAGCTTTCACTTGTTCCCCTATACAACTTGGATGCTTAATCATTACAGTGCCAAGACAGACAGTGGCCACAGGCCTCTTGAATAAGGTTGGCCAAGAAGTCATCAGATGTCTATTTCACCAAGAAAATCAAAATATTCTTGTTTATTTTCTGTTTTGTATATAGTTTAATTTTACTGATTTTTGATGAGTTGATTGTAAAATATAGAAATACTGGTCTCTGACTGGATTTTATTTTGACTGATTCATTCCTTTCAGTGAAAATAGCAAAAATAAATTCCTAGTAAAAATGAAGTACTTTATAGTAAATCATTTAGGTATTTGGATAATTTTTGATAGCTAATTTGCATAATTTTCAGAGAATCGACTTCTCATGAACAAATTTCCATCTATACTCATCAAGGCAGCTTCACAATAAAAATCAATTCAAATGGTTCAGCGTTTTTTGAGAAGACGCCCACATACATCAATAAATTTTAGATTAATAAGATTACAGTAGAGAACCTGTTGAAAACATCAATATGTTATAATAGATGTCTTGCCTGTAGTAGACGTAATTAATTTGAGCTGTCTTATAAACAGGTCAAGCTCTGTTTCATCACATATTTTGCTGTGTAGTGATAAAAACAGTCCCACACACGAAAGGCCTGTGATGCGATTTCTCACTCATTTGGTCTCACACTTTCACATTACAAAATCTCGCAAATATGCCTATCAGTGAAGACTTACAAAAAATATTCTTTCTATATATTCCTCCAATCTTCCGGACTCAGAAATTCAAACCCCCATATTGTAAGGGAAATTAAAAACACCTTTTTGTCAGTATACTAATAAAAGTGTAACCGTCCGTGCTGTTGTAGCGTGACTGGGTCATGGTCAAATAGTACAGGCTGTACGCTGTTGACTGTGGGGCAGGAGATCGTTTCTCGATGCCGCGTAACAACGTTGAACTTAAACATTTGTTTTAGTAATCTAGCAATATATTATTAGTACATTGTCATCCGTGGAAAACTATTAAATCGTCTGATACATAAGAAAAAATAAAGGAAATACCTTCACTGCAGAACAACCGAAAGTGAAAACACGACCTGCCATGTTGGAAATGGGAATGTGGTCGTAGAGGGCGATATACACAAATCGTCTTTTGTTTCGACATGAGATCAATTGGCTAAATGTGTACTAATGATGTGTGGTACCGTTGAAAAGGTCTTTGCGTGTATTTTTCCTAAATATGTGCTAGTCAAGTCAAGTCAGTAGCTTACAATGTAATGACAATTTAAAACTGTTGTCAGATTATGTTTTTTGCTTGTTATTTGCCTCCACGAATTTATATTCACACTTTGATACAAGAATGTCTATGCTCAAAAAATGTACACGACCATAGTACCGTGATAGAGGGACTGTGACACGACGTACTTATTCCGACTCTGCTCATTTGTTTATATCACAGTCCCTCTATCTGTGTTTATATTTTACTACCAGTCCACCATCTCAACATTTTATGGTGTATAAATCAGCCAGATGCTTACAAAGAGTTAATGTAACTTTGACACTGAGTTATTATTCAACTATATCACTATTAATTTCATTGTCTTCTATTAAAATCAAAGAAAGCTTAGAAAGAACTCCCATGTACTGAAAGTATTGGAGACACATTAAAAATAATTCGAAATTACTTTCGAATTTCTTGCTGAAAACTAATTATGCAAATTAGAAAATTAATATGAACAGATTTGAGTGTAAAACTAATGAGGTCTGTGCAATGTAACAGAACATCTATGTACCAAGTTTTATTGAAAGGTGATCAGAACCAAAAATTTGTGAATTATTATGCTAATTAGGGAATTAATAAGAAAAGATTTTAACCCCAAACTAATCAGGTTTGTACATTGTCCTAGAGCATCTTTGTACTATGTTTCATTGAAATGGAATAATTAGTACTTTAGATATCAGTGTGATAGCTTACAATTGGGTAATTATGCAAATTAGGTAATTACTATGTACAGATTTTAACCCACAATTAATCAGGTCTGTCTATTGTCCTACAGCATCCGTGTACAAAGTTTCAATGAAATGTGAAGATTAGTACTTAAGATATTAGTGTGAAAGTTAAAAATAGATTAATTATGCAAATTACGTGATTAATATGCATAAATATTCACCGAAAACTAATTGGATCCCTGCATAGTTCTAGAGTCATTGAAATGTGATTAGTACTTGAGATATCAGTGGAAAAGCTGACAATTAATTGATTATGCAAATTAGGTAATTATTATGCACAATTATTTATCCTAAAACTAATTAGGTCTCTGCATAGTCCTTGAGTGTCTATGTACCAAATTTCAATGAATTATTAATATGTACTAATATTACCCTAAAAACTATCAGTCTGTGCAGTGTCCTATGACATCTATGTACAAAGTTTCACAGATTTTTACCAAAAACTAATCAAATCTGCACATAAGTTCAGAGCATCTATGTACCAAGTTTCATCAAAATCCAATGAGTGTTTTTTTAGATATCAGTGGAGCAGTCATGGAACAGCTAAAAATTAGCTAATTATAATGCAAATTAGGTAATTAATATGTACATATTTTTACCAAAAACTGATCAAATCTGAGCATTGGTTCGGAGCATCTATGCACCAAGTTTTATAAAAAGCAATTTATGGTTCTTGAGATAGCAGTGGAACAGACAGACACACAGACACACACACAGACAAACTAAATGCAAAGATTCCCATTGTGTGCTTTGCACATGGGAGTCAATAAGTAAAATCTGCAATTTGTAATCCAAAGAGTTACTGCAATGAAGTTGAGAATAAGTAGCTGCATAATTTGTGTGTGTGTCATTGCCACAAATATTTTAATTTATGCAAGCAGCCATTCCCTGTATGTAAGGTCACCCCCAACTATGCCCGTCCTGTCATTTTTATGATAATAAGTCAAATAAAGTGAGACAAATTTGTTTCATGCTGTATATATTTTAATAATCAATGTTTGATATAATTGTAATCATGTGATGGTTATGTAACTTTGGGAGAGTTCTCAAATAATCTCCATTACAAACCAGGTGTAAAACAGTGTACAACTTAAAACTAGAACAGCAATTAATGAACATCTTCCCTGGGATGTTCAAGTGATATTCTTCCTCCTCTGTAAATCTCACCCAACACATACGATTCCGGCTAAAAATACGAAAGGAATTGCCTTGGGTTGTTCCTTTGAGACAGAAAACAAAAAGACAATCCGATACAACCGAAATTCTATCCTCGATGAACTCAACTCTGAAGTATGGTTATAATAATTTTTGCCAAACTTGTCTGCAATGCAAAGAAGTAGATCTGTGGGGAAAATAACTAGGCATTAAATTTTGTCACATTGAAAAGAAAATGTTAAAATAAAAATGTTATTGTTGTTCAAAAACTGCATTATATCACACGGATTATCAACATGCAAGAAGTTATGGAATAATTACACCACCCTTTTTGACCAAACTTTTGGAACAACAATTAAGCAAACAAAAATCCTAACAAAATTTACTGGGCGGTGTACATAAAATACATTTAACGGTAAAATGTTTACGTTCTCTACACGAGTCTACATCGGGTGATGATATACATAATGAATGTTTTTAAATTAGTGCAAACATTTCTTGAATAATAATTTGCGATATTGTACATAAGATGCCATTTCTTGAAAAGTATTACAATATTCACTAAGATGAAGTGTTTAAAAATACAAACCAACAGAACTACATTATATACACGCTATATGACACTGTAACCATGACAGTAAATTCAGCTTTGGATAAATTAAAACTTAACGAAATACTGTGCTTCTACACTTAACAATATTTTACATAGTTGTTATTCAATGGTCTCTCTGTAACTTTAATGTTGTAGTTTTGTTCTTACGCATATATGCAAATCATGCTATTCTCAATATTAATGTTGTTGTTTATTGTTGTTTACCCTAATTTTAAATTTACTGAACCAAAAACTTGCACTATAAATATGTATTGTGACCATTCATAAAGAAGTACAAGGAATTTACTTTTATTGTGCGAAAACCTTAATACAGTTATTTCCGTGGTCTGCGACCACAACCTTACCAAATGGCTTATCATCAGTGACACAGACGCCTGTAAGATTATTCAATCCATCTTGGTCACTATCAATACGAGATAGAAATACACCGTGTGAATCATATTTCATAACTCTGTGATTAAAGCAATCACAAACATACATATTACCATCATTATCACAAGCAACATCGTATGGACAATTGAATTGGTTATTACCATTACCCTGACTGCCAAAACTGAATAAGAACACACCATCTGAATCACACACCTGGATGCGATGGTTGTATTCAGCCACAATGACATTGCCCTTGTTATTAATGGTCATTCCATATGGGTTGCTAAACTCACATTGCCCATTACCAAAAGAACCAAATGACTTGACATAGTCTCCATCTTGTGTATAAATTCTGATACAGTGCGAACTGTTATCACAAACATACACTCTACCATTTGTAGGGCTGATAGCAATTCCGTCAGGGCATCCCAATTCCTGATTCCCAAAACATCTAATTATCTTGCTGTTCTCATCACATACAACAACCTGTTTGTTTCTATTATCTGTTATGAAGTAATAACCTTCCTTTGATACTGCTACATGGCGTGGGTCAAACCCTGATGTAAACGTTGTGAACTGAATAACACGTTGATGTATCCCATATAAGGAAAACAACTGAACTCGCTTATTGCCTTTATCACATACAGCAGTCACCCCATTCCCAAATACCCTAACTCCCTGGATATTTCTGAACTGACCCACACCTGAACCTTTTATACCATATTTACATAACAATCCCTTATTTGGAATTATGGTAATTACAGTTGGTGACCCCTCAACATGTTTGTTAAGAGCTAAAACGGATAATTCATGCTTTCCTTCTACTTTACCCTGATATTTCAGAGATAGTGTCTCGTCAAGGTTTTCTAAAACCGATACGTTTTCCTCAGATGCCCTCAGCTTGGCTCTAATTTCATTTATAGCTAGTGGTCTTGAACAGTCATCACTTTTTGTCAAAGAAGCTGATAATTCTTCACCAATTCTTCCATACTTTGGGACATCTCTGAGCTGAAAGTTATACCTGTGATAAAGTATAACTCCAAGGTTTTTGGTTTCGTGGAAATCGGATCTCTGGAATTCAATGTAGTCGTCTGTGATTGGTTGCTGTTGGGTCTTCACTTGTATTAGCATTTGTATCTGTGACATCATTCCCTTCTTTGCTGACATCATCTGTGCAGCATTCCCATAATGCATTATATTCCTCCCAAAGTCACGTACATGTTTCATGTCATTCTCTGCAATTTCGAGTTCCTTAATTTGTGCTTGCAAGTTTTGTTTCCGGGATTCATATTCACACTTCATCTCCGCCATCAGTTTACTCCCATTTTCACGGATCTTGGCTGTGATTTCTACGATTGTCTTTTCTATGTGTTCATTCAGTTTCTTCTCTTCTTCTTGAAATTGGTTCTCCAGAGCTTCTGATGTAGTTTTCACTTCCTGTTTACTGGCCCCTGCTTGTAGTTCCTTCTCTTGCAGTTTGTCTAACATCTCCATGATGTACCCTTTATATTCCGATGCCGCATCATTAAGGTATCGGTGGTTATGCTCAGTCAGTTTATGATCCAGAGCAATACATTCCAAACATATTGGGATATTGCATGTATCACAGTAAAATTTTACCTGGTTGTCATGGTGACTGCTACAATAAACTGGAGGCTGTACTTTAGCTGGATCGGTAGAGCGTGTATTGTTGTATGTTTCAAGCGACATCAGACGATGGGTCTTTAAACATTGGATCTCTTTATGCCCCTGTGTGCAGTTGTCACAAAGTCCAACTGCACAATCCAAACATCTAGTTTGTGATATTCCTTGTTTGCAACTACCGCATTTGTCGCCTTCTGCTAGTTTGCCGTCTCGCTTCTTCTCAATCAATCCAGCGAGTTCACTGAGAAAGAAATTCTTGGAAATACTTGCCAGTCCTTCTGGTAGGTCATGACTTCTTCTACATACGGGACATAGTACAGTCTTTCCACCAGCTTTCTCGACTAACGTACCGATACACTGTTCACAGTAGCTATGTAAACAAGGTAGAATTCTTGCATCTCTGTATCGCTCTGAGCATATCGCACAGATCAGAATATTCTCATCCATTTCGTCAAGGAGTTTTGACTCGGCTGTCGCCATAATGCAGTTACAGCGGTTGTGGTCGTTTATGCTGAACTTTACAGTCTTATTGAGTAACTTTAAATACGAGGCCATTTAAGATAATCCCAATTGTCATTACCACTCGCTACCGCCTTTTATCTTCACCCACCAAATACTATTTGACCATTGAACCTCATCTCGTATCGCCTGTGACATACGAGGCATTATATGACTGTATTAATTTGTTTTTAACTGACAGTGAAATGTACTTGGTGCCTGCAAAGTGTTAACCATAAAAGCATGTGTGATAAAACTAAGTGAGCTAAAGGATCCTGTTTGTCGTTATGACAATAGAGTACGCGGAAATTCGGAGAATAAGTCACGTGTGTATGTATATTGTATACAAATAAGATGGTTGCACTTCTGGGTATTTATGACTCTTCGTTGAGAAAGGGGGGTTAAGGTATATCGCGAGAAATAAACATAATAAATAGGGGTCACGGTGAAATGTATCTCAGTTGTTTGTGTTTCAAAGGTTTTACATAATTATTGATTTTGACACATGTCATGAACTTTTTGTTTTCTTTATACGAATTATTTTTTTCTAAAAACCCATATTGCAAATCTCCAGCAAATCTGATCATTTGTGTTTATGGTAGCCATATTTATACATGTATTATAATGAAAGTGACAACTATAAGACTGATATGGACACTACAGCTTAATGTAATTAAAAACAGATTCTGAGGTAACAATTCACATTCGACTGACTTCATAGTACTGGCGGGTACGGCGGGTACATAATATTACGCATTTTCTTACAGACAACTACTAGTCTATTATTCGCCTGATCACGAGATATTATGTACCGCCACCACTACAATGCTCGTCGACTGTGTTTAGTGTATATGAAGTCCCGCAATGAAGCATTCTGATTGGTCGAGAAGCATTGAGCTGATTTTCACTTGAGATTCTGCAGATTCTGGCAAAGGAAACGTGCAAATTACAGTGTTACGAATAAGTTCGATATTGGTAGATGGGTAGATGGTTCTAAACTCTACAGATACGTATCGAATATAACGTTTACTTCTACAAGATGGCATAATGTGTGGTTACTGACCACTTCTTGGTGCCGTGTCATAGCTATAAAAACATCTCTATGGCTCCCTCTCTCACGACGTGTGTTTATATAGGAAATTGCGTGTTCATTTCACCCATATCTGTTATAACTATATGCATCATGTTTTAACTACGTCATATTAAAAGCTTTCGTATAATTGGCATTTTTAAATTATTAAAGTTATCATCATCATCATCATCAATAATACGTAACCTATCCCATATATAAAACTCTCCATTTTTTTTCTCCATATACTCTCTTTTTTCATTACTGGTGACATATACTGGATAATTGGCAGCACACCGACATTGAATCACCGTCCCCAACATGAGAGACGGTGATTAAATTTTGTCGTCATGCGATGGACAATCTAAAAAGGGCACAATTTTAGTTTGTTCTGTTTCTGACCTACTGAAAGCAAAATATCATCCGTTGTTTACTCCTAGCATTATGAGTAATTCGTGACGCGCTTCTCAAAATTGATTGACTAAAGTGGTACTCATTCTGGTCCAGTATCAAATCTGTTCAGGACCATTGTAGCGACGAGACATACCGGCTGCACTTCACTCGTGGATGACGATGCACAGTTTGGTTTGAATGCAGAAGCAGGGTCGTGGACGTACTGAACTATACAATGTGTTTTACATTGTTTATATTTTAGACAGTTTTGGCGTTATAGTGATAAAATGTTAGAGATCTTCCACAAGTGGGACGTACTTAGAAACTAAAATTATCAGAATAATTGCAAATAGGTCTTTTTTCGAAAGCAAGACTGCACTTAAATAGCGAAAAGTAAATTTGGTTTTAAAAAGATGAGAAAATCTCCGTATAAATAACAAGATAGGATGGCGTCAATGGAACCACAGTTTGTTGTTTGTTTGAACCATTGTAAAACGAGCTTGATTGAAAACGACTACAATTCAGAAACGTTCGATAAAAACAGTAGTAACTTTAATAATTAATAAAATACAGTAATATGGTTATTATAATTTAGGATTAACACAACATTTTGAATGGAATGCGTATATCACATACAGTGTTAAACATGCATGAAGGGCAATTTATATAAACATAAATACATTTATTATAACAAATTATTTTCTGATAGTTCGTGACGTCACTGTCCCAGAGGGATGCGTACGCGGGAGCATAGTTAATCGCAGTTGTCCAAGGATTGGCTCTTCGATATTTCGGCGATAGAGGGCAGTTGTTGTACCTGAATAATACTTGGTCTCTTGCGTGGTCCAATGACGTGATTTTCACCTATGTTTAGTCTCTGCATGTCATCCACAGTCTGGTCAATGTCGCCATTTCTGTTGACACATTTCGGGGTATTGTCATTTGTCATTTCGAGGTCATTGTCACTTGGTGGGTTCGATATAATTACACATGTTGAATAAAAAGCGTCCTTGCGAAGATTCCGAAGAATATCTGTGGTAATACTGACGATTTCGTTGAACCACGGTCTTTTGGTTGGGTTCAGCTACAGATATAAATAGACAGTAAATAAATAAGTAAGTAAATAAGTAAGTAAATAAGTAAATAAGTAAGTAAATGAGTGAGTGAGTGAGTAA